GCCCGTAGTATCTAGAGCTATATATACTAGCTAGGGCGGATCGGTCGGTTAAGGGGTAGTATAGTATTAAGCCAGAGGAACTAGCTTATAGAGTTTATAATTACCTTATTTCGAGAAGATTTCTAAGGCTTCTGGTTTTATACGGCCACTATACAGATAACGGTACTAATAGAAAACTATAGGCAAATAGCGCCTACTAAGTACTACCGATATAGTAACTATCGCTCTATAAGGTAGTATATAAGGGCGTAGATCGCGGTTACTGTAAGAAGATAGTGATATTTTATCGCAAACTATATATAACGCCGTTAGATTGCCGCGTAAGTTACTAGTATTACGAGAACGAGAGTAGATCCTACCTATATTAAGTTAGCTATAGCTACCTATACAACTCGTAAATATAGCTCTATAGATAGTAATACGTACCGCTATTAGAATAATATACCGTAGATTTGTAAGGTTCGTTGTTTTAGCGACGCTGACAAGTAGCGAATAGTACAATAGAGAATAGAATATATATATATAACCTACCTAGCGATAGAACCATACGAGTATATAACGGTCTATATATAGTAGATCTACCGGAAAACTAAAACTCACACTAGTATATAAAGGGATTAGGTTGATAACTACTAAAGAGCTAGCTCTTTTCTGTACTTCCCTCTAGGAATAGGTTCGTAACCGAAGGCTAACAATATTTACTATAAGTATAACAGCTAATACTAGTGCTTACTAGTACTAGGAGATATCTAGCTATCTTATACCCTTTAGTAGGTGGACGTAGGCAAACTACTGCTAGGAGCCTAACATTTTTAATTGGAAGGGGCGACAAAAGCCTATATATCGTCTCCCCCGCGCCTAGCGCTATATACCTCGTCTAAGCCAATAGATCAACTATATTGATAGGACGGCTATAGCGCTAATAGTATATAAGTTAGGGAGAGAGGTACTAGCAAACCATCGATATAAGTCTAACCTAATCGGGGGCATTCTATTTAGTTATTAATAACTTAGAGGGATAGATAATTATCTATATAGAGGCGGCTAAGCCTAGCTTTTTATATTGTTAATTTCCTAAGGGCAGAAAGAGCTTTCTCTCGTAGTTTTAGGTAATAAGCTCTATCCCTTTACAGTCTATTTATTATAGGCTTATTTAGAGTAATACTCTGCCTATCTTTTATATAACCCCGTGTTAGAACGGTCGCTGTAATAAAATAATCGTCCGTATATCCTAATATATATCGCTAGCCTATTTACCCAGTAAAATGCTAGAATGATCCGGAGTGAATCTCGATTGATTTTTAAAGAATAAGATATAAATGATAGCTAGAGACTATTCTTATTTGATAAAAGTTATTAGATATAGGCAAACCTTATATATCTTATGAATAGCCGATCTTGGCTTAGATAATAGCTATCCCGTCTTTTCCGCTCTATCTTATCTTTAGTAAGCTTCTTTATAGTATAACTATTACGGGATCTAGTAAGGAGAGCTAGAACTTTTAGGTTTGAAATACGTTTCGAGTCCTGGATTAGCCTTTTGACTATTTTTACGTCTCCTTCTTTAACTACTAACCCTAGCGCGGTTTCGCCCTAACGATTGCTTAAATTGAGATTAATATTAGGATGCTAAAGTAGGATATCTAGAATATTAAAGCTTTGATTACGGATAGCTACGAAAAGTGCACTCTCCTTATCAATGCTGTTTAGCTGGTTAATCTTCAATCGATTACTTTATTCTACTAATAATTTCACTATATTAATATCGCCTCTTTCGGTAGCTAGGCAGAGCGGGGAATCTTTATATATATATCGAGTATTGATTTTAAGCTTGTTATAAGTAAGGAGTAATCTTATAACTATAATATTACCCTCCGTTATAGCTAGGCGGAGAGGTAATCGAAAGCCCGCGTAGATATTTGGGTCGAGAGTCGGTCTTATAAGAAACTATCGTAGAATAACTGTATCTATTCTTCTTACTAGATAGTATAGTGAAGTAGAAGGCTCACTATATCTCCCTCCTCCTCCGACTATATTAATATCTATATCATTTTCAGCTAAAAGTCTCTCTATAATATTATCGCGATGACTAGAAGTCGAATACTATAGCGGGGTATTTCTAGAATCGTTCTTACAGTTTATGAGAGCGTTTTGACGTAGTAACAGATCTACTACTGCGAGATATCTACCTATTATAGCTACGTAGAGCGGCGTACCGTTTCTTTAGTCTAGTATACTACAATCGATAGATCTTTTATCGAGAAGTGATTTAACAGCCGATAGACTTCTACTAGCAGCTACAAGATATAAGGCCGTTCTTCTCTAGTAATCCACTGCGTCAACGTCTTCTCCCTAGCTGAGCTGTATTTACAACGTACCAGGGTCCTTACCGTTCGTATTATCTCTAATTATTTCTATATTACCGGTATACGTCTCACTCTTTGTCTCGGGGTATACTATTCTATAATAATCTAGGAACAAATATTTGATAGGCTCCCTATTCTTAATATAGGCTTCGATCTAAGGCGATATACTATCCTAATTTATCGTATCAGAGTTAGTACTTTTGGAGAGTAGTATAGCTATAAGCTCTTTACTTTTATAAAAGACTGTAAGCTAGAGCGCGGTTTAGCGCTAGCAATATAAAAGATCTATCTCGATATTAGGGTATTAGAGGAGCCTTTTTACGACGGCAGATAAATTGTTCTCTACGCTATACCATAAAACACTCTTTCTAGCCTTATTCCTTAGGTTGACTTTTATCTTTTAATTCTTTAAGAAGAGCTTAAATATCGACCCGTATCTATATTATATAGCTATTATTAAAGGGGAGCAATTATTAACTAATATATTAACGTTAGCTCGGTAGGAGAGTAAGGTTTTTATAAAGTTAGTACGGTTAGCTTTAGTAGCCTAATAAAGTGTAGAGCTGTTCTGGTACTTAATATTGTATTTAATTAAGACCAACCGTAGCTTTAGATAGAGTATTCGGCTGGTTCGGGCAATAGCAGAAATTTCGTATCCCCCTAGGGTATCGGCTATTAACTAAAGAATCTCGGTCGGTAAGTCTAGGATAGTGATAAGTAACTTAATAGTCTATATCTCATTATTAGTCTCTGTAAGCCTTAATAAATAAGTATAGCTTCTTAGAAGTAATAACTATTATACTATGATTGTGTTAGTGGTCTGTTCTATTTCGAAAAGGAATAAAGGTAGCCGCTAATTCGATAAGAGATATACTTTCTATATAGTAATGTAGAGTAATAATTGTTTAGTAGATAGGGTGTAGTCGTGGCTTTATAGATTGTCCTATTATAGATAGTTTATTACTAAACTCGAGTACGGAGCACTATCTAACAGATTCTATACAGTTATTTACTAGCCCTTTGCTCCTAGAACCTAATTCTAAGTTCCCGGGGGCCTAGGGGCTCCTAGGATTACCCGTAGTATTCCTAGGAATATTTATTTAGTTCCTAGGAGCTTATATTAGGCTCCTAGGGACTCGGTAGTTCCTAGGAGAGACAATATCGTCTAGGGAGACGAATAGAGAGTATATAATAGACTTATTAGACTTAGGCTATTTCCTTTAGGTAACGTAAGATAGCTGACTTTATAACCTTAGAACCTACAGTATAGAGTAAATCTAATAAGCACCGTAGCTAACAATCCGGGTATAAAGTTAGCTGAAGTCCCTATTATTCTTATACCTCAACCATAAGATAGTTATATAGATTCTAACTATATTATATACACTACTAGCTACGGCGTTGCTACTAGCTAGCTGTGTCCTTCTTATATAGTCTCGTCGAGCAGTTTAGAAAACCTTATTATATTAAAAACTCGATCTTGCCGTGTTTACGCCGAAGATCGTTCTACTAGTAGTATATATAGGACTAAGCTGGAGTAGAAAATGTGAGATAGGGAGAGAAGTAATATTAGGGGTAACTAGTTTATTTCCCTCTATACTCGTGGTATATACTATCACGTTGTTTCTCGGTTTTACGTTAACTACTAGATATTAGTATCTCTGAATAAGCATTTTCCTGTAAAGCCTCTCTAGTACGCTATATCAGTTGATAATCTGTTTTCCGCTATTTATACTTTTCTCGTACTTAATAAAGATTACGGCTACGGTAGTTAGTACTTACTTTAATCGCCTACTATAAGTCGTCGTACTCTTCCTTTTCTTTTGGATTATCTAGGCTTAGGTTCTCTCTTATAGTAGGTAGACGGATATATAATAGCCTATACTAGGACTCGAGCGTAACTATATTGCGCTTTATATTATATAGTTAGAGTGGTAGCTATCCTTCTTCTAATTGTAGTCTTAGGGGTTGTTCTGTCCTATTAGCTAGTATCGCTAGAGGTAAATCCTTACCCTCTCGGTAGTAAAGATTATAATTTACTGCCTTTTCTAACTTTTACAGCTCTAACTACTTATCCTTATAGTCTAGATGGTTATATCGTTTTACGCGGTACGAAGTACTGGAAGTCTAGTCGGCGAGTATTTAGTTTATTTAACCTACGTAGTAGGTAACGAATTCTAGGGATATAGGGTTAAGGGCTTTATTAGTAGGCTATTATAGGCTTACTATTGTCGTATACCGGAATTATAATATTATAGTAATACGGCTCCGAAACGGTTTTGATATATTTAAGCTTAACGGCAAAGACTAATATCTAGGAAACCTATCTACTGGTAAAATGGCTAAGTTACCGGCCGATCGATCGTTCTAAACTTTAAGTATACTAATAAGGTTTCCCCGAACTTTATCTAGTATATTTTTAATAGAATGTAAGCGAGCTATCTACTTATCTTAGCGAAGCTTTAAGTAGCTTCCTTCGTTATATAGCTGAATATTTCCGGCCTATAGCTTTTCGTTTGCTTCTTTAAGCTACTTACTATCGGTATATTTAGAAACGTAAGACTCCTATAAATACCGGTAGTATCCTACTAGGCGTATAGCCTAAAATATAAGCTCGGTATCTTCTTCTTTAAGCTATTTCAATATCTTAAGTACGGGTTGGAAGGGCTCTATAGATAGATTATTCCTTATAGTGTCGTGATTCTATATATAATTAGTCAGCGGGGTCCTCTATAGCTATATGTCTATCTTACCGGCTGCGAGACTTTATAGCTAGATACCGAGGTATTCTCGGCCGAACTTGCTTGTACGCTCGGTGGTACCTCTCTATATCTGTCTTTTATTTCAGGCAATTTGCTGGGACCCTTTATTGTTAGTCGTGTTAGTAAAGACGCTACTATCTAAGTTAGGAAATTAACGTCTCTTTATAGCCCTGCTTATCCCGCTGCTAATAATAGATTATGGTCAGAAAAGGCCGATTAAGAAAGGTATACTGCTTAGATAGGATTAGCAATCCCTTAACTATATATAGTTGTCCGCCGTCTAATACTCAGTTCAGTTCCTATAAATACCGTTTAAAACTAAGGTTGGGGCGGATTTCCTTTTTAGAATAATATTTATACTGTTAGAAAGAAAACGCGTTTATATCTAATGCGTATGTTTATATGACATATATATAACAGTAATACGGGCTGGTAAAATTTATTTAGGAATGCCTATAGTACCTTCCCGTTAAGACCTAGACAATATTAAGAGTAAACGGTGTTTTCTGGCGCCCTTAAAAATGCAATGCCTTCCTTTGATATAGGAACCGCCTCCAACTACTAATATGAATTTGTGCCCTCCTAAAACTTCCAATTTTGAGCTGCGTAAGGCCAGGCAAAGCCCTATTCATGCTGCTGTGCTATATTACAGAGTGCTCAGTAATAGCGACTCTAAGAAGCCCGGGGGGAGCTAATTTAGCGCAATTACTTATTATAGAGCCTAAGTAATGGCTGTAATCTCTATACAGAACCCTTGCCTTGTAATGACCTTTTCTTTTTTTTGCTTTTTAGTTGGTATAGTAGTAGATGTATGCTAGGGGCTTAGGAAGCCTTAGGTTTGACCTAGTGTTTAGTTCATAGGAATACGAAAGCTATTTAGGTGAGGGCTGTTTATAGCTCAACACGGTATATGTAAGTTGAAGTTTTCTACTGTGTTTGGATTGGATGGATGGTTGTTGAATAAAACATTGTAACAACCCGGTTTATTCAGGTCACTAAATCAATTTCTGAATTCTGCTAATTGAAGGCTCGACCTCTTGGGGCATTGTTTCTCTCTGCTAGCCCCTTCTGTACAGGATGGATCGAAATTAGTTTCACCACTTTGTTATCATAGACTCCTTCTCGAAACCTATTCCGAAACACGCTAATCCATTTCGGATTAGGCGCGATGTCAGGTATTGAATGGTGGTGAAATATACAATCACGTGACAAAGTCGCTTCGAAATATCTGTAACGGTTCCTGCCAAGAATACTGACATCTCGCAGCCTGGGCCGGAATGTTGCCAAACTAGACTGCAGTAGGATATCGAGAGCCAACAGCCCACCGTATATAGATTACAGAGAGAATCAGAGTCAGATCGGATCCTGTTTTTTCCTTGCTCACTAGTATAAAATAACATCATCAAATAATCGTATATTATTTCTAGTCATGCTGCTCTCACCCAAAGTTGTAGCCAATAACCATATCATATCCCGGGTGCGATATTGCCACTATGCAGTTGGAATCCCAGCGTTGCCATCCGGAACAATAGTTGGATTAACATGGAGAGTCATGTGCTAGAGCGATGTGTTAGAATGTCCACTACTTTGGGTAACAAGATATAGAACTAACATCGGTCAAACTCGATAGAGAATCAAAAAATTGCCGACAAGCGACACACATATGATGCTCTTTCATATCGTGTTGAACAAGTTCATCGGGCCTGTCAAATTGAATGTCGCAGGATATACAGATGTTGTGCTCAGCCCCCAAATGTTCGTCAAGCTCAACCAGCTTCTCGAATTCCAATGGTGGAACACAAACATGACAAAAATGGTGAAACTGGGAATTTTGGATATGCTGTAACTTGGCGGAAAAGGAATCGAAGTTGATTCCGCAGCGTGTGCAATAATATTGTTGCAGACTCATTGCTGTATCCAATTTGTTTTAGCGTCATGTCTTTTAAGTCTTGTGCGTATCACGGACCAGTTATATTAGTTGGAGACGACGGAGATAATGTTTTGTTGCTCAAACCTAGGAAAATAGGGATTCACTGTCTCTGTGACAAAATACTATTCTTTCCATTTCCTGTTTACCCTTTTATCATTCCTGCTCTATAGGCGCTCTCAAATGTGGCGGTGTGCAAAGCAAGAAACATCCCAAAGTATGGCTAGATAAGCCACGAATACAATCTCACATAGGGCATATGGTTTTTGCGGGGCTCTCTCGATCGCCCAATAAGCTCATAAGCCCCGCCACACCAATCACTGTTTAGCATGTGATAGGCGTATGTATAACCTTCTGAAAGTTAGGGAGACTTTACAAGACTAATACAAAATCTATTTTGAGCTGTTATTTACGGCTGTATCATATTACCGCCAGGAGAGCAGTTCAGGAGAAGACTAACTGTAATAGGTAGTAGCGTGTTTCGAAAGAGGGTTCGAGAAAGAACCTCTGTGTGTAGGTGGTGAAACTGATTTCGATCCATCCTGTATCCTTTCCCTCATTTTGCCGGTGGGCATTGTTGGTGAGGTTTGGGCTGTAGACGTTGCATCCACTCCTGTCGAACTTCCTCCTGGGTAACGGCTCTCTTATGTTGCAGCTTTTGTTCTAAGCCCTTATTAAGGGGACTAAACGCCGTGAGAGATTTCCACCACGTCTCTGGTCTTAAGTATCTCTGTTGAAGCCGCAGTCGAAGCGTAGTTTGTGATCGCTTTAAGGGAGGTTTAGGGCTATTAGCAGCCTTAGTCTTTAGCGACGGTTGTATGTTGAAGCAATGGTCAAGTAAAGGTATAGTGTCAGATGTATCTCGTAAGCGGCGCGTTGACCGACGGGAGATATTACCTATTATCTAAGATAACGTGGGAGGGGATATGATGCTTTGACTGGGGGAAATCAGGCTATTTATCGTCTCTCTTATTATTACTATCACTAGAAAGTGCTCCGTCTTATAGAACCTGGACAGTAGGTCTCTCGTCCCTTATTTAGTAGAATAGAATGAGAAATTATTAGTGGTCGATAGTAGGTCTATACTTAGGCGGCCGATAAAGTTAATTGTACTCCCTCTAGACTTATCTCTTTCCTATATACTCAACTGCTTGAACTTGAGATCCCGTTGAAGATTTTCAACGTTTTTAGTCTTCGGTTACCGGCTTAGCCCTACTGGGATATTTATACTTAAACGATAATATAATTTCCGCTAAACGTTCAGTCCTCAACGCCTTAAATAAGATGCTTAACGTATAGGCTGAATATATAGAGGGCTTACGGCCTTGCTTGATAGACTAAAAGCAATCATAGTCCTTAGTAGTAATGAGAAGCGTACGTTCTTCAGATAACAGTGCTGTAAGGTATTAGCAGTCTATATACGTAGGTAACTATATTCCCTCAGTCTAATAAGACGAATTAACGCGCCTTAGTTGACCGACTTAACCTTATCGTTGCTCCTAGCTAAGTCCGTCTATAGCTATTAGGCGGGGATAGATACGCTTAGTCGATAACGGAATCTAAAAAGAGCCTATTATAGTCGAACTTAGGCAGTAGAAGTATAGGCCTATACCGGTCTATTTGCGAAGAAATAGGCCGGTCGCTTAAGGCGGTTACTCCGTAGACGCTATAGACTACCTAATTAGAACGGGACCACCTACCTAGAGAAGAGGTAAGTATTTTTTTATCTATTAAGCCGCCCTGAGGGCCTATACAGCGCTAAAGATAGACGTAAGACGCGACCGGTATATAGCGAAAAGGAAAGCGGATTATTTACGGCAAAAATCCGCGAATTAGAATACGCTAACCACGATATAAGCGGCGAGCTTAACCGTACACGTATCTATCTAGAGGAGTCCCTTAGCGAAAACCGCGAAATACAAGCTAAAGTCCGTCGGCTTTAGGATAAGCTGGAGTACAATTCATCCCGAGTAAGTCACTTAGAAAACGAGCTAGTTCGTATTATAGGGGGGATTGCTAAAGCTATATAGGTATTATAGGTTTATTAGGCGTAGGAGAGGAGTATATCAGATTCGTATAGAGACAGATAAGATAAATCCGGTGATAGTATAGACAGTATAGTGCTAGGAACGCCGGCTCCGATACGCGATAGCTTATCTTAACCTCTTTCATATTGTAGTTACTGTATAGGCGGGCGTTATATATATACGTATAAGAGCTGTTTGCTAATAAATGTTATATTGTAGGCGAATGATAGCGAATATATTATTAGGGCCTTTTATATCTAGACTATTTAGTAGGCCTTACGATTATAGAAAAAAGCTGCGAAGGAGAGTCAAAGCTTCGGCGTATTTTCGTGTTTCCGTGTCGCGTATTTACGTTACCTTATTGTAAGCTAAGGCTCTAGTAGACTGCGACATCGCCCATGGACGGGCGGCTGGGCAGTGCCCACGGGCCTTATGTAAGCGGGCGATGGGCACTATCCATACGCCCATGGACGGGCCCTACCCTTAGGGCCCATTGTCCATGGACACCGTGGGCGCCCATGGGCCTTTTTAGTAAGCAGAATTTCTTGACCTCGTGACCTGCATTATTTGTGCATTTTTTCTCTGTATTTTTGAGTAATTCGATTACATGTACAATGACTTGATAACAATGACTTGATACTACTGTCAATTTTCTGACCGAGGTCAGAAATGAGCTTTAGAAGCCTTTATACAACAACTTGACACATTGTCACTTTTTTGACCGGGGTCAGAAATGAGCCTTGGAAGCCTTTGCATAATGACTTAGGCATTCATTATATTCATACATTCACACTAATACGATACAAATTGATCATTATTGGGTTTGCCACGCTTCCTTGCTTCTCTTAAACCAGGGCGCTTTTGAGTGCTACCCTTATCTCTATAATAAGGGAGATGAGGACTGCTCTCATCTTCGCTGTCGACTAGCTCACTTCTCTGTCGCTTCCGCGTACTTAGCACTATAGAAGGACGAGGAAGCTGACTCTCTATTATAAACTCATACTCGATCAGTCCAACAGGATCATTATCCTCGGAATCCTCACTATCGCTGATTGGTTCAGGCATATCAGTGGTAAGCTCAGCCTCTCTCTGTTCGTCTGCTTCTTGCATTGAATCTAAGGACGTATCCTTATCGGGTAGTTCTTCTATTTCAATGTCGAACTGGGTTTTACACCGGAACATCATGATATCCTGGACTGTCTTCGCACTCAGCCGCCTACGTCGGTAGTGGCAGACATCCCGTGCTGAATTGAAAAGACGTTCAACTCCAGCGCCTGTTGCAGGAATAGAGAGAATGTCGCGAGCAATACTGGAAAGAATTGGGAATTCATTCTTATATTCCTTCCAGAATTGTAAAGGATCGACCTTTCTCCTTGCTATTATAGGTATTAGTATTCCTGCTCGTAATAACAGTGAATATAACGTACGCTTTTCAAGGTATCTAGCAAGTTCGTGCTCCGACGTTGATGGATCAGAGTGGATGTGAGGCAGAAGGTCAAGGAGGGCGTCTAGGTCACTTGTACTGGCTGAGTGACGCTTGGGGGGTTGCTCTTCTCGTAAGGACCGTGTCTGAGTGTGTCTTTGGGCGTAAGGAGCTATGAACTGGCGAAGCGTTTCCTTATACTGATCACTCCAGTTTGTGTCGTTCTCCGATGTACCCCACGCCTTACTTGAGAAGAAGTGAAGCTTATGCTGGGGTGCAAGAATTGTTCCAATCGCGTAGAGACTACTATGGATCTCTTTCGTCTTTGTGTAGTAAGAGGTAAGCTTTGCTATCCCAGTATTGAGGGCTTGTAGCATCGCCTTCTTCCAAGGTATGGTTTTCGGAGTGAGTCGTGCAATCGATTCCTCGAAGTGCTTAAAGAGGGCGTTATAAATACCAAAAATATGATGTACTGTTATCTCTTTGGTCTTTGAAAGCACTGTGGTAAAGCGATAGAACGGCTCTGTGATATACAGGAGGTAGTCGACCTGCCGCCATTCTGCCTTACTGAGTTTGTATTTCTGAGTCCCAATGTTATCACAGTATTCATCGTAGGGCTTGCTGAGGCGTTTCGCACGACGAAGTATTAAGAAGGTAGAATTCCAGCGGGTGCGGACATCTTGGATAGGCGTAAGTTTTGCTTTATTGGTCTGGAGACGGAAGAAATCATCGCGACGTTGGGGGCTTATATTAATAAACACAGCAAGCCCTCGAATCTAGATAGTTATTAGATATATTAAGTGATAAACAAAGTGATACACTTACCTTAATAAGGGTTTGTACAATGACTTGTTCACTCTGTGAAGTACGGAGCGATCGAGCTTGGGCTTGGGCTTGGACATCTGAAACATTCCGATCTGTGGTATCGTTCTGGGGATCGGCCTTCACCGATCTAAGTAGCTCGCGAAGGCTTAGCTGGATAATATATGTAAGACAAGGGATTCGAACAACCACCGGGCTATTCGGTAGTTCAAGGGAGTCAATAGAGTCTTGAACTGCCTGTACTAAAGTTGTGTTATTTGACGCGTTATCTGATGTAATCGCTAACACACGATCAGTAATATCAAGCTTCTTAAAGATCTCTATAAGTACTTCACTTAGATTTATACCAGAATGCGCCCTATTAAGTGGTTCGAAACCAAGTAGGAGCTCACGGTAATTCCAGTCTCGGTCGATAAAGTACCCTGTGATTGCCATAAATGCCTGCTGAAAAGGCGATGTCCAGCAGTCGAGGGCAATTGAGAGCTTCGCATCTTGTGGTAAGGTAGCGAGAATTGAATGTTGCTCCTCGTCGACCAATTTCTTGAGCCGGCGTTGAGCAGTGCGAGGATGGAGTAAAGTGGGTTCAGCTGGAGCCTTTTGTGCCATTCGAATTAAGGAAGCAAATTGCTTCCTCTTAAGTATCCGGAAAGGGAGGTTCAGACTGGTAAGATATTCAATCTGCTCTCTTTCCTATTCATCATTCGAGAATTTTGAGTTATAAGATAACTCCAGTGCCTAATATGTAATATGTTAGTTATCTTGAAGGGTATAATAATATAAGACTTACCGGTATATGCTGTATAGTCTCCTTAATCGACTGTTGTGTAGACTTGCTTTTACTACCCTTTTGGCATTTGCCTGAGGCTAGATGCCGCTTAAGTGTATTGGTGCCGCTTTGCTTTGTACTTGGATGAGGCAATGTAACCCCACACGTCCGACACATGACTAAAGGTTCGCCTGTAATATGATATGCTACCTGGTCGAAGTTCTCCTAGATATCTGATATGTGTTTTGCATCCCATCGTAGCCTTTGTTATGTCTTAGTACTGCTGCCGCGTACTGTGGTACGCCACCACTCGATAAACTTTACTTTGGACGCGTTGTTCATCGCGTCGTAGAGGATAAACTGCTTTCTCCGATCGGGGCCGACGCGTTTAAGAGAGTAATTAAGAATAGCCGGTTGAGTGAACTCGGACTCTATCAGTGAGATAGAAGTCTGTTGGCTGTTGAAGAGACTGGGATCAATATTTGGATTAAGGTTAGGATCAAATATATCGGCGACGTAGGAGAGGTCTGGTTAGGAGCTCGGAGGAAGTGAAGAAGGCCCTGCGGTATAGGCACTAGGTTGGGACATAGTTAATGTGATATAAGGGATAATATAACGACTATAGGAGAGTGAGTGATCTGAACTTATAATAGGTAACTTGCGACCGTGTAAAACGAGGATTACTAGTAAAAGGGGTGCTTTGTATAGATCTGATAGATCGTAAATTGAGTGTAGACCCACTATATATTATAAGCTGATTGGCTATAAGTGTCTTTGTCCATGGGCATGCCCGTGGGCACGCCCGTAGGCACGCCCATGGGAATATACCTAAACGCCCATCTTAAGTTACAATCGAAGGATTTAAAACTCCCAGAATAATAACACAAGTCTTTGAGTGATATAATTGACAGAATTTAGTGATATAAGCTTATAAAATAAGAATTATACTAATTATCTTTCGATCTACCTATAAGAAATATACCAGAGTGAGAGATAAAGTAGAATCCATAAGTAGTATTTTACTTATGGAAAATGCCAGGCATATACCACTGACTTGAATATATATCTTCAAGCTGTTACAGTATGATTTGATAAGTTAATAAAAATACCACACAACATGATGTATTTCGATTAAAATTTTATTCCAATTCGTATCATATATATACTAGTTTCTCATATACATAGATATTTCAGTAAAATTGATAGATGTTGTAGATTAAAACTGCCATTTTACATGGAGTTGGCAAAACAGGTGTAAATAACAGTTATTTATTATGCAAAGTCAGCGAGTTATACGTCCATTTTGGGTGACTTTATGCAATGGTGGGCATCGTGGGCATGCCCGCCGTGGGCATGCCCGTGGGCCTTGGGCGTTATGGACGGGCACTCGAAAATCCAAATAGCCCAAGGCCCACCGTGGACGGGCCTTGGGCACCTCCTAGGTGCCCATGGACGGGCGATGTCGCAGTCTAGGCTCTAGCTAATAGGACTTTTGAGTAGGTTAAAGTTAAACCCCTATAATAGGAAATATCATTTTGCTTTAATAGTACCGCGTTTATAGTAATACAAATAACGCGTTTTTAGTTATAAATTTGCCGACGTTTATTTCTAATAACTTTAAAGGGAGAGTATAGGTACGAAGGGCTTATCTATATTATAGATAGCCGTGATATAAGGTTTATAGGTAAAACATTTAAGCGTACTATATATATATATATATATATATGATATATCCTTAGCTTTACGTATCACTGATCCTATAGTATATATTGTAGTACTAACCCAATTTATACGCGGGATACTACCGGTATTTCTATCTAGCCACTACCTACACTAATACTAGAAATTAGCCCGAACAGTGAAGGCTTTCTTTATGTACTAACGCTTAAAGGTTAAGGCGAGTAATATTGGTCGTTTTACCTAAGCTAATATCCGATCACCTTCCTTACCTATCAATATATTCGGGAAGCTAATACCTTACCTAAAATAATACGCTTATATACGCTTAAATAACTCGAGGTTATAATAAGTAGTCTTATTAGCCGCGTTCACTAGCATCTTTAGTTCGCCCTTATCCCCTAATTGCTCGAAGAGTTTGCTCTGATTGGTTAGTATATAGTAGGGTTGACTAGGCGGTTAAGGCTTACGCGTAAAAGCTCCTCCGGTAAATAGTAGCTTTTTAACTCCTCAGACAGACCTTTGGCTTCGGTACTCTATAGGTAGTATAGAGGATTCTTTATAATTAGCCTTTTTACAACCTTAGCTAAAGCGAATAGCTTTAGAGTTACTGCGTCTATCTCGGCTGTATCGATTTGGTAGCTTTACTCTACTCCCGCTATAATATAGATTACCGTTAGTAAACTATACTTATATAGCCTACTAGCTGCTCTTAGTTTCCCTACTTACCGATCCTAACCCTACCGGACTCTATAAGCAATATAGTATCGGTACTTAAGGCGGCGAGGGCTCTCCCGCGACCGCGCAGATATTGAATTCCTTTAAGGACCTATTAGGTATAAGCACTACTTTCTTATATCGGGCGCTAAGACTAGCACTTATCGGCCGAATAATTGCGGTAACCTTACCTTTAGTAATAGTATATCTCGATATAAGGATCTAACTTACTAAGAGCTCTACTGACTCTTAGACTATAAATACCCGATCCTCCTAATAGTAGTACTCTAGTAGATCTAGAAAGCTAGGATAAGAGAATTGACTCCTAGTTTTTAATAGTGGCTTAATAGACGAAAACTACTGCTTCAGAAGGTAGATATTAATTAGAGCTACTTTATTGTTTCTGTACTGGGCTAAGAAGACGGACTGTCCTTAGGAAATCACTACGATCGCCTTATATATTAGCTATAGGTTTTAGAGAACCGGCTAAATATTCTAAGCTTAGTCTTAATCTTTTAGCTGCGTTAGTTTAGGATAAGCCGGAGTAGAAGTAGTTACCGCTAGATCGGGCTGGGGCCTAGAAGACGGTACAGATAGATAGGTTAGTTTTTTTAAAGTGGCCTAATCGGGTATTCCGTTATATTATATAGTAGGAGGTCTAGATAGCTAACGCTAAATAGAATCTATCTTAGGAGCGTATTAAGTGCGAGGGGATAGCTTTAATTTAGCGGTACTAGGAACCCTAAGTAGAGGGAAATGTTACGGAGTAGTTAAGGAATCCACCCTATTTAATATTAATAGAGCTATAGAGATAACTGCTATCCTATAGAACTAGATTGATACTAACCTATTAAAGCCGAGTATGGGCTGTTGTACGGGTATCTAACGACGTTAGTAATTAAGCGTTGAAAGTTGATATTATATAAACGGTCGTCGCGGTAGAAACCGGCCCTACCCCGCAAAAACGTATAGGTTCAATATTTATATATCCTAGAATTAGAATAAGATAAGGTACTGTTTGTCTTTACTTAGAAATGATGGTGCGTATCGCCCGGGTGAATCCCGTAATATCGAATAAAATAGTCTTATATATTTATTAGCTACCTCTCGTTTATCTAAAATCTACTCCTACGGCCGGAAGCGATCGGGAACCCGTCTCTGTCGAGCTAACCGACGAATAACGGATAAGCTTAAGGGGATAGAGACCGGAAAATGGTTTAAACGCCGGGTAGGCTGAGGCGATCGAAGCTACGAGGGTACTGTTAGAATAACCGACCCCCCTACTATATATATGACTTTGAGAGGCGTTTTTGTAGTCGACTCGCTAGTAATATCTCTAGCTACCGAAGAGGAAAGGAGAGCGCTGAAAGATCCGTAGTATTGACTGTATCCGTAATTAGTAAATAGACTACGGGAATAAAGGGTGATAAGTTACGTACTGTGTCGGGTAAGAGGTGTTATTCCCGGGCAACCGATAGGTAAGCTAGCCGTCTATATACGCTAAATAAACTACCCTCTTATATATATCGTATTATAGTATAATAGGATTATCGCTGTCTTCCTTAAAGTAGATCGGATATACCTCGCTATCTAGATAGGACCCTTAGTCGAAGCTATAAATCTAGATATAGTACAGCCTACCGTACTTATTATTAATAGATAGGATGGCTGGATCGTTCGGTGAAATATCCTAGGACACCCGATCTATTGTAAGTATATCTAACGTAACTTTACGACTAGGAGGCTGAGATACCTCTAACTATATAGGGGCAGGAAGTCCCGGGAAGGTGATCTCCTTAATATCCTATATCGGAGGAGAGAGCGTATGTAGCTTAGAGAAAATTCCGGCTGATTCCTCTTCTATATTATTAACCTCTTTAGCTATAGATAGCGAGAAAAGATAGCGTAGAGATATCTACGCGTAGACTTAGTTACGTACGGCTACGTTAAACTACCGCTATTTGATATCGTTCTATTAACGTTCTTAATGCTATCTCTTATAGAGGAAAAAGAAGATAATACTATCTAGCTAAGAGTTAAGTATAGAAAGATCGAATGGGCTCTGTGTAAGGTTATTTAGCTTATACCGACCTTCTTTTAGGGTCTCTTTCTTTATAGTAAGCTTATAAGCATTTCCTTTCTAGGTAATGCTATAGTAGGACTTATCCTCCCTGAGGGGCCCTATCTGATAGACAGCTAAGGGGTCCTAAAGCCACTGAGAGTCTAATATCTTAAGCGTAGAATATGTATGGGGGAGAAGGATTTAGGTAAATCTGAAATATAATGATTATAGCGGTAGAAAGTCAAACTATTATAAAGATCTAGTTAAGTATATATAGTAATTATTTTCTCTTAACCGCAATTATAATACGTATTAGCTATATAGAATGTAATAACAATTCCTAACTCCTAGGGCAGATAGTTATACTCCTAGGAGTACTCGGGCTTCTAGGGGCTAAATAAGAGTTCCTAGGAGTTATCTAGTATATCCTAGGAGCTAGTATCATCTATAGTATTCACTAATAGCTGTGAAGGCTCTATACCTCTTTTGGAAAGGTACTTAGACTATCTAAGCTAATCGTATATAAGGCTTTACTGTACCCTCGAAGCACTTTATAAAAGTAAAATTCTTATATAACTAAAGATATATACCTTTTAGCTACTTGCTTTGCTTTAAAAATTTTACTTTAAGTTGAATCGCGGTTATTATTACGTCTACAGTAAATACTCTTTTTATCGCTATAAATATAGACTAGAGCTCTGACTATATATAATTAATATTCGGTCGAATTATTAGCGATCCTACTTACCGTTTAGAGTATATATAGGTTGAAGAGAATAGAATTTATTACCGAAATACTGTGTCGAAAGATTTAAGGAGAAATAGAGCAATATACCTTAAGACGTTTTAAGAGCTTCTTGTCGGCAATTCACCTATATTAAGACTCTTAAAGGTAGTAAGTTATATACTATATATAGAATATAGACGTTATTCCTCTAGGGCTAGGAAGTATACCTAACGATAGATATATTTGCTTTACGCTTAAGCCAATCAAGTTGAGAGAACCACACCAATTCAGTAATATAACTATAACTACGATCTATTAGCATATCGCTAGCCAACTGGTATATCCTACGGTATTAGTAGAACCGAATACCTTTTATCAGCGCCTCTTTCTTATCATATAACCTATAATAAGTTTTTATAGGCGGTAAAATAGAGGCAGAAACCTCTTAATAAAGGACATACATAACGTACTCTTCGTATAGCTAGAAATGCTAGAGATCGTTATATCGAGGTCTTAGTTAATTATTCGTAAATAAATAGGCCTTATCTAAACCGTTCGGCCTAATAATAGCTATTACCGCTTAACTATAGTTAAAATAATATCCTCTTTCTTACTGCCTCTTATATTGCCCTTTTAACTAGATTTCCCCCTATACGGTAACGACTAAGCTTATTAGCTAGCCTATTAATAGCGCTAGCCCTACTACCTTCCCTAGAATAGCACTCGCCTATATCTATTTAGTATGAATATATATTCAATCTTACTAGAGTATATACTAAACTCGGAGTTGCCTATATATATGTATACTTCCTAGGGTCTATCACTAGGTAGCAACTCTAGTAATAGAGCTATAGACCGCCGAACGCGGTCCTATTTAAATATAGCCTTAAGGGTATCAGAAGTAGGCTTAGTTTGTGGACTAGTTTTAGTAGGCTTAGGAGAATCTTCCCCTAGAATAAGCTAAAGATCTCGCGTTAGCTTCTGGGTAAGACGAAAATCTATATCGTCTTAAATTAAAATAGCTCTGTAGCTTTTTTGAAAAAGTACTATAAAATAAGGAAGTGACGGTATATATCTAAATAGGGATATATATATATAGAAACGAACCCGATTAAAATACTACTAATACTATTAATAGTAGAAGGTTAAAGCAGATCCTATATATATATAACCGTTAGCGATATAAGGCTTACTATTTATAGCCTCGGTTAAGTTGGCAAACGGATATTAATATATAGGAAACAGGAACTATATACATTTATACTATCGTTTAGCATCGAGTTAGCTGCTCTGTTCTACGGCCTTTAAGCTATCAATTTCTGAGTTACCGATATTTCTATCGCTAGTATCTAACTCCTATATTTCTAACTACTTTAATAATATATCAAGAATTACGTATATTGACTCCGGCTTATAACCGGGTTCCTTGGCACCGCGCTCCTTCAAAAGATAATCTATCACGCCTCCTATCTTCTAAGTGAGTTTATAGAAGATATCCGCTAACCTAGATATATAGTCCCTATCCTCAATTGCGTGTTTTAGGGTAGCCTGTATATTACCTAGTGCTTATTCGAGCTTAGTCTAGGCTCTTTCTGCTCGGACGGCCCGAGTATCCAACCTAGTAAGGATATAAAGATACTCCTATTCTTAGGTTAGATAGGCTTCTAAGGAATCCTATAAACCTACTGAGGAATCCATATTATAGAAAAGATAAGGACCAAGTCGTCAACAGTAGGTAGCTTGACGCAAGCAGCAGCTCGACATTTCTGTATCAAAAAAGGATGTTTCACTGGCATTTATAGCTTTATATCCATAGTCATCCTCTAACTAGTGCCTTCTCGGGTCCCCAATAGACGTTCCTTTCTGCGGGCTTTCAACGGGCTATATAAGCTTGTTTCTGGCCATACACGGTTAGACTGCGACATCGCCCATGGACGGGCGGGTGGGCAGTGCCCACGGGCCTTATGTAAGCGGGCGATGGGCACTATCCATACGCCCATGGACGGGCCCTACCCTTAGGGCCCATTGTCCATGGACACCGTGGGCGCCCATGGGCCTTTTTAGTAAGCAGAATTTCTTGACCTCGTGACCTGCATTATTTGTGCATTTTTTTCTCTGTATTTTTGAGTAATTCGATTACATGTACAATGACTTGATACTACTGTCAATTTTCTGACCGAGGTCAGAAATGAGCTTTAGAAGCCTTTATACAACAACTTGACACATTGTCACTTTTTTGACCGGGGTCAGAAATAAGCCTTGGAAGCCTTTGCATAATGACTTAGGCATTCATTATATTCATATATTTACACTAATACGATACAAATTGATCATTATTAGGTTTGCCACGCTTCCTTGCTTCTCTTAAACCAGGGCGCTTTTGAGTGCTACCCTTATCTCCATAATGAGGGAGATGAGGACTGCTCTTATCTTCGCTGTCGACTAGCTCACTTCTCTGTCGCTTCCGCGTACTTAGCACTATAGAAGGACGAGGAAGCTGACTCTC